GTTATTTTTTTTTTTACATATTAACTTCTCGATAAGCTAATCCATGTAATACTCATTAAGTAAATCACAACAAAAATATTTTTGCAGTTCCATTTATCATACTTTAAGAACACACTAATAAGTATCTAAGTTGTGTGTTTACAAATAACAATAAGAAGAATTTAGTTGTACCTCACAAACATATATTAGTGAAAGAGTTACTTTACACGAAACTAACTGATGTGAAATTATTGAATAATTAAATGAACTTGAAAATGAAATCAAAAGAGCAAATTTTCATAAGAAGGAACCAGTTTTTATTAACATTCCTTAACTGATGTAAATTCTACATGTTTTTTTATATCTCGATAAATAATATCACTTCAGATCTAGAAAAAAATGCGTCACGGTATGCCGATGACAGTGGTACATGTGTCTTGCAGTTCAGTTATAATTTAAAAATCATTATAAGTAAAAAGAAGTGTCGTACCATGTTGAACTATCAAACTTGTGCAAAATCTTGGGCTTTAAAATATACATAGAAAAGTTACATTTAAACCCACAGTATTGAAATAAACACATTTATAAGTTCTTAAGTTCGTATTTTGCGTTTGGTCGATTTTCTTTATCATTTTTGCTGACATTTTATATATGAATTTATATTCATTTTGTATTTCTTTTAGAAAAAGTTCATCTGTTATCCTATCATATATGTATTTCAGGTAAAAAAAAAGGTCAAGCACACTCTGCCGATTGACCTTCATAACTGTAAAACACCTTTATAGGTACATTTGTATACCCACCTATACTTTATAGTTGTATTGAGCTGTATTTTCTGAGGTTGAAGTTTCCATAAAAATATAGCAAATTTACCACGTGATGTTGACTATGAAAAGTATACACGAACAGGTATATTTGTTATTTTCTAATATGGATTTTTTTCCGATTATCATTTTCATCAAAATGTTTTTTTAAAAGAAAACTTTTATTTTGTGTCTTTTGTAACGAAGAAAAGGTCAAAATCTTCTTTTAGACGTTTTTAAAAAGAAAATTACATGAAAACAGCTCAAAAGACCTATTCGGGATATGTCGATACGGGTATTTTAGGTCTATACAGATGTATAGCCCAGTTGGCAGAGTGTGCGGGTCTTAATGTAACCGCATTTAATCATTTTGTCTTAGTTTATTTTAAACGAATACACGAATTTTGAATAAAACATTTTAATGCTAAGTTTGATATCAAAATCAGAAAATAAAGACATGGTTTAGTATCAATGAGCATAGACACCAGTTTGATATAAAAGACAGATAATAAAGGAATAGTTTTGTACTATTTAGTACAGATACTGGTATGTTTCTTGTCAACAATATAAGGACACACATCGATGCTATAAACTGTAAACGGTAACAATAATCTATTAATGGTTGATAACAGCAGGTAACTGTCTCGAATTATACGGAGATCTACTATACACATAATATACTGATAAGCCCCCCCCCCCCCTTTTTTTTTGTATTGGCCTTAATGACATAATTTGTGTTGATGGGCTGTTAAGAATCCAATAATAATTACCTTTGCTGCAACTAGTGTATTAAGACACGTGTTTTGTTTCTGATTTGTTTTATTGCATGTACTGTTAATTTATGAAGTGCCTTGTCACACAGTTTTTATTCGTTGACCCGTAGGCTAGGACCAACACAAACTTATCGACATATAGTGCAAAACTACGGCTATCCAAAATGATTTAAATCAGTTTCCTACTTTCGTTTTGACCGTGACTAACGCACACGCAATGTCACAATACACATATCAGATAAAAGCCTTACTGCATGTGTATCTAACATAGACTTCCTGTGATATGCGAAACGAGTGTTTTAATGTGTAGAAGTATATTTTAACTCGGTATGTCAAGGACACATAGTCATTGTATGTGTCTAGACCAGGCCGAAACGGCCAAACCGGTCGGACCACAGCTGTTCGTTTATCAAATAAGGTCGGGCCTAGTAAATATGATGCTGCTTTCAGGCGAGCCTTGGCAAAGCCTCGCAAGGCCTGCATAAAAATGTGCAGGTCCGCCAGGATTTATACCCGAAATTGTTACATTTATAAACGGTCAAACCGGTTGTTCCGCATAGACGAACAGGCCCTTAGAGATAGTTGACAGACGTGCAACGCAGTACAAATCAAACGGAGATTATCACACATGTATGTGTTCAGTCCGGGATATAGATCTGAGCTGGCGGGAATCTGGGAAGCATCGGCCACGTGAAGGTTTGTATATGTTGCCCTAGTTTACCGAGTTTTGGTTTTAATGACACTTGAGTATTCTCGTGTTAGGTTATAGTACACTCCTGAATATTCACAGGGACCTGCGGATGTGCTACAGCTATGTTTGGACCTAAACGATGGTGTTCGGGGTAATCTTACATATTTTAGGGGGTTAGATCGACTTTCGGTAAAATTGCCACTCCCAATGATTATATAGGTCCAAATATAGCTGTAAATATGTTCATGTCCCTGTGCCCATTATGATACCGTGACACACATACATTATATAACGTACCCAGACTAGACGAAACAATAATGATATTGAAGTACACAAATAACGCCCAATATCATGTATTACTCAACAGGAGGTACTACTAGTACAGGTGTTACAACTTATCAATGTTTATCTTGGTATTGTTTGTTTGTTTGTTTGTTTGTTTGATTTTGTTTAACGTCCTATTAACAGCTAAGGTCATTTAAGGACGGCCTCCCCTGTGTGCAAGATGCATGCGTGTAGTGTATGTGTGTGTATTTTGGGAGGCTGCGATATGTTCGTGTTTGTCTCCTTGTGATAGCGCGGAACTGATGCCGACTTTATAGTGCTACCTCACTGAAACATACTGCCGAAGACACCCAGCAGGACGCCCCACCCGGTCACATTATACTGACAACGGGCGAACCAGTCGTCCCACTCCTAATTTGCTGAGCGTTAAGCAGGAGTAGAAACTACCATTTTTAAAGACTTTGGTATGTCTCGGCCAGGGGACAGAACCCAAAGCCTTCCTCACAGGGGCGAACGCTCAACAAATGGCCAAAAGTGAGGCATTGTCAAGGGAGACATTAGGAAAAAGAAAGTTATTTAGAAAGGAGAGAAGAGATAAGGTCCCAAATTTAGTCGCCTCTTACGATCATGCAATTGGGGGCAGCAGGTACAATTCTTACGCCCTACCTGCAGGGCTCTCTTGGTATTGTATTTAATAGTTTTTTCCTAGGAGATTAAAGATATATATGTATTTAAACATCAGACCTGACCAGTTTGGGGTTTAAAACTTGCTTATTTCCCATTGTTACTGAAAAATAAACTGCGAGAAAAGTTCTAACTCATGTAATATAAGCAGTATGCACAACTTGTTAAAAAACGTAGAGTCAGTGAAGACACAGAGTCGGTACAGACGCCGTGGGTAGATCATTTAGATGAAAGTCATAAACTTAAAATTCTCAATAAAGGATGTCTTTGTTCTGATATAATAAACTCAATACAAGCAACATTGTCGAAACCATTTCCTGATTTGAATGGCTTCATTTGACAAACTTAGCTCCCGTATATGATCCCAATAAATACAGATAGAAAAACCAAGGCCCTTTTCAATCTATTAACTCACCGTCTGTCCAAGTCCACCTTAATGGAAATTATCACTGCATACAAGCAATGGCACAATATTTGTTCTTGACAATTTTGAATCTTAAGAAAATCATACAGTTAATACTCCCTCGATCGAACGTCAGCTGTGTAGCATTGACGTCAACAATAAAGGTAGTATTCCGGTCAAACGTTTGGATATAGAGCGGAACAAATTGGTTACGACTGTGATCTTTTTATTTACGGAAATACTTTTAAGCAAAAACTAACTTTATTGAAAACCAAATGCGGGAACCTTTGATTTGGGTGTTCACGGAAAAGTGGCACTTTAGACCGTTGTTTTTTTTTAAATACCTTCACAAATAAAAAAAGGCATATAGCCAAAAATGTAACTTTCAATTGTAGCTGTTCTTGTAGGCTACTAGATTGGATGGATGAGATGGTTGGTTGTGATTGGAGCACAGGTAAGAATCATTGTAAAACATGGAAACATACACATTGTATAGATTGTGCAAATATTGATGATTCGGAAGAAGATTGGTTATGTTCCGGACATCGTAAGATTTGAAAATAAATAATCAGTGAAGTTTATTTATAGAAAATAAATATAGAAAATAAATATATAGAAAAATGGGCTCTTATGTAGAACTGCGTTCTCGCGGCAAAGTCTGGTAACATTCTTCGCACAATGAAAATGGCAAAAATCTATTTTTCAATTCGAGTTACTTCCCTTATACTGCACAGCCGATTGTATAGTTTGTGTTTTTTTGTTTTACATTTATAGTGGTTCATTCCGGTCATCACTGTTGCAAATAATTCGTTATGTATAATACAATGTATATCAGCCTAAACATTATAAATGTACCTTGCCTATAGTGGTCGCCGAACAGAAATCGGTTCTGTGATTAATGAGTTATGGGTCAAGAAAGACAGAAAATGATTTTTTTTCATCATTATTCTCTCGACATCGATTCATTCCGGTCACCACTTTTGCGATTAATTTGTAAGGTTTGTTCAAACAGTTGATATCATCTCAAAGAGTAAAAATATCCTTGGCTAGAGTGGTATTCGAATAAAAATCGATCCAGTATTATTCGAGATATGTGTACTTATACGAAAACAGTTGAAAGTACATGTATTGCCTTTTTATTTTCAAAGTGGTTCATTCCGGCCACAATTATCACTTTTAACCTTAAATATTGCTAATCATAACTAATACAGTGTAACGAGTATAAAATTATCTTCCCTATGTTGTTCTATGAACGAAAATACATTGTGTATTATGGGAGATATGGCCTTATAACTAACAAAAAATCATAAAAATTCTCTTCACGGCCGAGTGTCATTCCGGGTTTTGTCCTCACCTGAATCTGCGGCAACCAGACTCTTGTTGTCAATGCAAGACCCGATTGGCGCAAAGACCCCGAAACAAGCGGGAGATATAATAAAATAATATATATATCACGGATATAGAACAGGTTACCGGAGGAAATATACTTTAACGGACATAATTTTATGTAGTTGACTCTGAATTGAAAACCTGTGAAATGCATGTTGGAGGAAAAAATACGATTTAGAAGTTCCACAGGAAAAAAACCCCGTCGTTTGCAAGATAGGCCTACGAATCACCCGAACAGTTCCGAGTGACATAATGCCGGCAAAAGCGAAGCTGAATTTGGTGGTTGCAGCGTGTAACAATCGAGGGATAGGTATCGGCGGCTCGCTGCCATGGCGACTAAAGTGGGTGTAATCTTATGTATATACATATAATGCTTAATCTATTCAACAAAATAACGTCGTGTTGAAAAGTAAAGTTATTGATTTATGTTCACAATAAAACGAGTCCGAAGAAAGTCTCATGCCTCACTGATAAAACGGTTCTTCATTTCGCGATAGGCACCTATGGATACACTGTATCCCAGATTTCGTAACGAATAGTCAATCATGTCAGAACACTAGCCCGAGTTCCCTCTGTCCCTGACACCAGACTTGGACATTTTGACAGGTAGATGTCCTACTCTGTCAAAATCCTGAAAATGTCTAAAGTCTGGTGTCAGTGCCAGAGGAAACTCGGGCTACCTTTAGCATATTGCTCGCCCTCACCTACACCAAAAAAGGCAAAAACTAGCTAGGATTAAATCAATGCAAAGGACCTTAAATGGGAAAGTAAGGTCACCTGTCGGGTAAAGATCACTTTGACAAGGTTTATTCAGGTTTGGTTTGATTTAATTTTGTTTAACGTCCTATTAGCTTATATTAGTAATGTCACTAAGTAAGAGAAAAGCAACGGCCAGACTTGGATTTGAAATTGGACCCTTCAAACTCTAGACGGACACTCTAACCAATTGAGCTACCTGGTCACTGGCGACCCACCCTAGTCCAGTTCCACTACATTCCTTCAAACTTAACGAAATCTACAACCCCCAAGACACACAAGACCTTATACTGCTGCCATGGTTTTATTATTTGGGCACCAAATGTAAGAGGAGAAGGATCAGAAATGTACGGCTAGACCAGGTTTCGAACCTGGGACCCTCTAAACTCTAGACGGTTGCTTTATATTAACAAATTGAACTGCCTGGTCGTCGGTGATTGACCTAGTCCAGTTCTGCTGTAGTAATAATCTTGCATTTGTTTTATAATTTTGATGTATAAACAAAACAGTTCAAATATTTAAACTGAATTAAATCAAATTTATGTTAAGATTTGGAAATCTAAGGTAAACTAAATCATCGGCAAAATCACCCCATTTCATTGGTAACATTGATTCGATATTTTTTAAATGTTCACCAACTAATGTTGTTCTTTCCATTTGTTACAGAAAGGACATAGAAGTTTTTAAAAGGATAACAACGGAATCAAAAAACCCAGGTATATTTTATTAATCACACTTGATCAAACTTCTCTGCTCAAAGACTTTTTTCATTTTAGTTTCACAGAATATTGCGATCTGTCACTTTTAATTCCCCAGTTTTAACTTTGTTGAATAAAATATATTTAAAAAAAAATGATAAATAAAAGCATAGAACAGCTTGCAGTTGCCATTCATAGTCAATATGAATGCCAATAGGAATGTGACAAATTAAACATGAAGCAATAATAGCGTGCTTCATGGAAATGTCACATTCAATTTGGCAATAGCTTCATATTGAAGTTAAACCTTGATATACTGCCACCATTTGTCCAGAGAAAATTTGACATTAAGCTCAGAATGTTTGCTTTGACAAGTATCAGTAATGACTAAACTGAAGACTGGTGGTTGAGCGGTGAGTCGTAGAAGTCAATAGGTATTATATAAAATGAAGATTTATCAAACAATAGATACGAATCCAGATTTTATGTCAAAGTTTGGGTAGTCTGGTGGTGCAGTTGATAACGTATTTGCAGTCTTTCATTTGATACTCTGATTGAATGTGAAAATGTATCCATGGATATATAGTGGAATCACCTGTTCGACTACCTGGGTTTTCTCTAGGTACTCTGGTTTCTTCTAACATTTAGACCCTCTGCGCACTAACATTCGGGCCAACAGGAGTGATTATAATAAAGATTGAACCAACTTGTTTCATAATTATTGTAAAATAAATAAAGGTAGTTTAATTTCCATAATTGGTGTAAATTTGGTGACATTCTACAATTTTCAAGTACTTTTAAGTACAGTTATCATTGATCTTGATTGAAATCTTGATTTATCTTGCAGATAAGACAAATGTGTTGATAATGGGAAGGAAGACCTGGACGTCCATCCCGGAGAGGTTTCGACCTCTTCCAAAGAGGATCAACATTATTTTGAGTAGGACAATGACGTAAGAAACGGAAAATTGTTCATCGTTGTTGTGGAGTAACAGCCTAGCGATTGGTATTTTTTTCCTCCACCAACCAGTTACGTCCCTTCACTTTAAAGAAACCAAAATTAATCAGCTTCCTCCTGTCCAACACTTGGGACATTCATAGATCTTCTTTCTTTCTTTTTTTGACCGATTTCTTTCTGGTGGTGTCTCCCTAGGTACTGGCAAAACCTGGCCATCCTTAATGACCATAGCTGTTAATAAAACATGAACATGGTACTCGGGTTCTGTCTTCATATGATCCTGCATCAGTGGATGTTGAAATCTGAACATCACAAAATAAAACAGTAAAACCAGTATTGTAGAAAATGTCCATTATCTCAGCTTGCATCAAGTTGTATTGCAGTAGACTGTTTTGATAACAGTAAAGTAATCTATTTTCTTGTAAAACTGAAGAAGTAGACCAATATGAGATGATAAAGTTGTGTGATGGATTTTGTGCAAAATGTTTTTCAAGAATTCTCCGTAGACAATGTTATTAAATATTTAGCCCTCTGTCATCAGATGTCGGAATGTTTAAATTGCTCTTTCTCCATGGTCCATCCATCTTTCAAGGTCCATGTCCATCGTCCCTCCTTGATTCTTGTAATTGCTTTATCTCAAAAAGTACATGTTGGATCTAGCATCTTTTTCAAATCCCTGGGTCCTTATAGTTTTATATGTTTCTTTTTGAGACTGATCATAAAAACATAATGGCCGCCAGGCAGCCAGTTTGGATTCTGACAGTTTAAGTTCATCGCTATTTCTTAAGAATGAATTGACAGATCTTTGTCAAATTTCATCATAAATTTTGACTGTTCAAATTTGTTATCACTACTTCTCAAGAAGTACGTACTTGACAGACATCTCTCAAATTTTATATGTATGTTCCCTTTGGTCCTTCGATTTGCCTGTTTAATTTAGGCAGACATGTTGAATATGGCTTTTGAAGATTGTTGTAGCTTTTTCTCAGAAAGTTAAGTACAGCTATTCTCAAATTACATGAGTTAAGAGCACCTTCCTGTCCCTAAATAAGGGTAAACCTGCATTGTTTCATTTTGAACTTCAATTAGCTTGAACAAAAGATAACACGACTGTCAGATATCAGAATCTCTTGTTAAATATTTATTACTATAAATATATATATATATCTTGTATATAGGTCATACAACACCCTCACTTTAAAACGACAATGTCATACACAGCAGTATGAAGTTTGATCGAAAGTAATGATAGTGTTGACATGATTCAGTCCAGCAGATAGAAGAGAAAAGAAAACATTAAACTTACATAGGACCAATTTAGATCTTCGATGGTGGGTGCCAAGATCCTTTGTGAAATAAATCAAGATATTTTAAAATGTAGTTATTGTGGATCAAGTAAGCGGGAATATTCTCTTTAAGATTATATTAATGGCAATTTCTTGTAAACTCCTAAGATAATGATCAGGAGGTCTCTGATTCCTTTTTGCAGGGGATACAAAATTACTTTTTAATAGTTTATAAAGAGCAAATATTTGCAATAAGTTTTCTGAAAATGAAAAAGCTTTATCATGAAATTATTTGAACGGTTTACTTGGTTTATAAATCCTTCAAATATTTTCCAGAGAAACGCCAACTGGTACATATATGGCCAGAAGTTTAGAGGAGGCTGTTTCCATGGTAACAGAAAATGGAAACCTGGCAGACAAGGTGTCTTCTGTATACATTATAGGGGGCAGCTCTGTCTACAAGGTAAGTCCAAACAAAATGATAGGTTTCTTCTATCAGCTCTCAGAAATGAGGGTAGCTATAGTTGTAGGTGTTGCTGAAACTAAATGACCATCATCTTCCCTTAGAGAGCTTCTGATGTGTTCAAACATTAAACAATTTCCTCTGATTAACCAAAAGGTTCATGATAATTGGGTTGTAGCCTAAACAGTATTTCTATCTATATTGTTCTATCTTGTTAATTGTAAATACACCCTCCACAACAAAGTTACAGTGGGATTCTTGAATCCAGGATGTCCTGCTAATTTTCTTCACTAATCCCTAACATTTTGTTTCTACATATATAGAGTTATGTCCCTTTAGTACCTCGCAAAATTTTGTCCAGTCTACAAGATGGATTTTTATCAAAACAGTGATTAACATTAGTTTATTTAACTTGTTTTATAATAGTTGTAAAATAAATAAGTCTATATACATTTTCTCTACATCACAGGGGTCAATTTTGGTTGATGTAATTATGATTGACCAATTTAGGCTAATTCCAAGTAAATTGATAATTCTGTGAGACATCCAAATAACATTGGAAAAGTACCCCTCACTTTAAAATTGAAGGGTTGTTGTAAAAGTAGATTTGCTGATGGTCCTATGGTCTAAATTATTGCTGTATTGTATGTCTCAAATTATTGTATTGTCGTTTGATAATTAATACATGATTTTGAGAGGATTGTACAGTAAGATGTTTTGTTTTGTTTGATCAGGAAGCCATGGACTTCGCCGGTCCGTGCCGTATATACCTGACCAGAGTGCTTGCTGACTTTGACTGTGATACATTTTTCCCAGAAATTAATACAGACAAATTCATAAAATTACAAAAGTAAGTTGTATTTTAAACAGGGATTGGAACCTGCTGTGCTTCATCATAGCCAAAATCTGTGAAGAAATGTTTTTGTCATGACAACTAATCTATTAGTTTTCGTTCAATTTCTTTGAAATCTGGTTTCAGTTCCATTAAATGTAACAGGTAAACATGTTATATTTGATCCCAATAACATTTAGTATCTCTTTCTTAACCCTTTCACCCTATGTAACTTTAGTAGACTCTACCATGCATTGATCAGGATGAGTCCATTTTGGTCTACAGTGGTGAAAGGATTAATATATTAGAAAAATACCTACAAAAGTAAGTTATAAAATGATTTGAACCTGTTGTGGTTTTGGAAGAAACAGGTCAGGTATTAATAAAATATTTGTTAAAGTAACTAAATAACTGCTTTACAATATTTATAATCTGTTCCCGCTTCTTAACTAACAGATGATTGTCTATAAATGTATAGCACAAACATTATACACAATATGTATATAATCTATCAAAAACAATTTAAAAAAAAGTCAATGGGACTTCACGGTCACCTGTACAAATATGTCATTTGTTGTGGTGATGTATTCAAAAATAAAAAAGCACTGTAGGATCTTTCCATCCTTTAAGAGGAATTGATTCTAACATTTTGACCCTGTCCCTTAGACTCCCAAGCGGGAGGGGAGTCATTTATAATTTTCATATCATCAAACTGTTTTAATTATTTTCTACTGAAATATATATAACAGAGTTAATTCCTAATATAAACAANAAAAAAAAAAAAAAAAAAAAAAAAGGGGGGGGGGGGGGGGGGGGGGTGGAATGGGTGATCTAGATTTAACAAAATTCACAATTTTGATAAAACACTTTGGGACCTTGCCATCATTGACCCCTTTTGTTGGCCTAGCCCCTCAGGGTATTAAATTTCATATCATCAAACTGCAATCACATGATGATAATTCCAACCAAGTTTGAATTATTTTTCACCCAAAGTAAGCAAACTATACCCAAAAGTTTTAATATTCTACATAAACTATAGTAAACTCTACCCCTTCCCCAGGGGGGAATGGGTGGTCTGGGGTAATAAAATTCACAATGGAGACCAATATAGGAAAGGTACAATTTTAATTGTAATAAAGCACCTTAGAACCTGTCCATCGGTGAAGCTTACAAACCTGGTTTATCCAAGAAATTTACTAATTAATTAACTAAGCTTTTTGTAACTAATGACATATATTACCACAGTGTTGAAAGGGTTAAGGTAAAAGGTACCATGATGCGTTTGAATAATACATCGTCAAATGATATTACAATAAAATTGTGTCTGATACTTGACATAAATGTCAGTTGCGAGTTTAATGAATTTTAATACGAAAGTATTAAATTTTCAATTACTGAATTGTTTGTTTCTTTGAAATGTTAACATGTATACATCGTCAAATAATACTGTATTGATATTGTGTACGATACCTTGTAGGTACTGTATTTCAAAGCACAAGTATAAGTACTCCTTTTTACTCCTTAACCCTTTCACCCCTATGTAACTTTGTTAAACTCTTCCATGCATTGATAGGGATGAGTCTATTATGGTCTACAGTGGTGAAAGGGTTAAGGTCAAAGGTATCACTGCATCAATTATAATTGCGGAAAAATAGAAGAGTTCCTCTCCGAGTGTTTTTGACTTAGAGTAGTCTCCCTTTTATATCGAAGGTGAAGCCACCAAAAGGAGTTTTTCTGTCTTAAAGTTACTTCCCTTGTCAAGTTTTTCATACGCTTTGCGGTCCATAAATTGGACACTCATTTTGATTCTGTGCTTGTATAATTAATTTGTATGGCAATATTGATTACAATATAATGTAAAGGTTCCCAATTTGACTCCTGCAGTTTTTTTTAGCTCACCTGGTCTGTAGGACCATGGTACCGCAGCGTCCGTCGTCCGTCCGTCAACATTTCCTTTAAAACGCTACTTGTCCTGAACGGCCAAGTAGATTTTGACTAAATTTGGTCTAGAGTATCCTTAGGCCAAGGGGACTCAATTTTGTATAATCGGTGGGTGTGGCCCCCCTGGGGGCAGAGGGGCGGGGCCCAAGAGGGGAAATAGAGGTAAAACCTTGAAAATCCTTCTTCTACCGTAGGGATTAAAGGATTTTATCCTAATTTAGTCTGGAGCATCCTTGGGCCAAGGGGACTCAATTTTGTATAAATGGTGGGTGTGGCCCCCCTGGGGGTTGGGGGGGCGGGCCCAATAGGGGAAATATAGCAAATTCTTTAAAATCCTTCTTCTGTAGGAATGCAAGGATTTGTTCCATATTTGGTCTGAAGCATCCTTGGATGAAGGGGAACCAATTTTGTATAAACGGTGGGTGTTGCCCCCCTGGGACCTGAGGGGCGGGGCCCAATAGGGGAAATATAGCCAATTCTTTAAAATCCTTCTTCTGTAGGAATGCAAGGATTTGTTCCATATTTGGTCTGAAGCATCCTTGGATGAAGGGGAACCAATTTTGTATAAACCATGGGTCTGGCCCTCCAGGGGCCTGGGAGGTGGGGCCCAATAGGGGAAACATAGCAAATTATTCTTTAAAATCCCTCTTCTTCTGTAGGAATGAAAGGATTTGGTCCATATTTGGTGTGGAGCATCCTTGGGTAAAGGGAAACCAATTTTGTATAAACGGCGTGTCTAACCCCCCTGGAGACAGAGAGGCGGGGCCCAATAGGGGAAATAGAAGTAAACCCTTTATAATCCTTCATCTACCATATGGATTGAGGGATTTTATCCTAATTTAGTCTGGAGCATCCTTGAACCAAGGGGTCTCAATTTTGTATATGCAGTGGGTGTGGTCTCCCCGGGGGCAGAAGGACGGGGGCCAATAGGAGAAATAGAGGTAAAACCTTTTAAATCCTTCTTCGACCATCGAGATTAAGCGATTTTTTCCATATTTAGTCTGGAGCATCCTTGAACAAAGGGGTCTCAATTTTGTATAATTGGTGGGTATGACCCCCCCTAGGAGCATAGGGGTGGCGCTCTGTTTGAAGTTTGTTCTCACTGTATCTAGAGTACTGGATGGATCTTTCTGAAATTTCATATGTACTAACAGCACCTACCATGGAGTGCTATATCTTTATTTCATACCAATTATTTAAAACATATTCAGGTGAGCGATACAGGCCCTCTGGGCCTCTTGTTTGTTTTCAAATTTAATTTCTATTTTCAAGCATTAACATTTTGAACACAACAATTCTGAGATTTTTTTTGAAATTCCATTTTAAAACGACTATTTCCCAATAGTGACAATGGTAATACATCACTTATCTTGTTAGTGCCCTTTGCCATTACAAAGTGTTAAGATTTTTGAAAAACTATAGGGAGAGTAATTGATAGTAAAGATATATAAGTGTTTTGTAAGTTTATATTTACAAGTGTTTTGTAAGTATAGACATATAAGTAGTGTTTTGTAAGTTAGACATATAAGTGTTTTGTAAGTATAGACAGGTGCTTTGTAAGTATAGACATATATAAGTGTTTTGTAAGTTCAGATATATAGGTGTTTTGTAAGTTTATATTTACAAGTGTTAGGTAAGTATAGACATACAAGTGTTTTGTAAGTTCAGATATATAGGTGTTTTGTTAGTTTATATTTACAAGTGTTTTGTAAGTATAGACATACAAGTGTTTTGTAAGTATAGACTATATAAGTGTTTTGTAAGTTCAGATATATAGGTGTTTTGTAAGTTTATATTTACAAGTGTTTTGTAAGTATAGACATATACGTGTTTTGTAAGTGTTTGTAATATAAGTTCATATATGTAAGTATACATATATGTGTTGTTTTGTATTTTACAGCTGTGAAGATGTACCAGCGGGGCGGTTTACGGAGAATGGCATTGGTTTTGAGTTTGAAGTGTATGATAAGGTAGATAATTAAAGTGTGAGCTTTGACCTTGGTGTTGTGGTGTGCTTTTATCCTCACTTCTGTCCCTCACACAGTGGAATCTGTCTATATCGACCTTATTACCCTGGCACTACTTGTATGTTGTGTTACTGTATATCTGGAAATCTTCACCCAGTTAAACTTTTGCCCTTCGTTCGTGAAATCAATTTTCGCCCAGTGTCAATTAATTTAGCCCTTCACATTTCATTTCTATTTTTATTTTGTAGTTTGCTTATATATGATGTTATCTTAACGGAGGGCAACACAAACGAAAATTAACTCCTTCACCCCCGATATTTGATAAGGGACTATTCAAACTTTTGAAATGGAGTTCAAATGTGTCTTAAGGGGTGAATAAGTCAAACTGCAGAAAACGTTTCCCGGTATACAGTTTATTATAAAAGGTCAATTCCTGTGTCTACCTATCAATCCAGAATCCAAAATAAATCACTTTTAGCCATGGTCAGAATTCCAGCTTGTTCTATGCAAATTGTTGAATTATACTTGTGGTGCCTCTGAACAAACCAGGAGTCCTGGGCTGGGTTTATGTTTTACTGGGATAACCTCTTTATCAATATAGTTATTATACATCCTATTGTTAATCACCCTATCTGTCCACAGTAACTTGTCCGTGCAACACCTCCTTAACTAACTGGTGGATTTCATTGAAACTTTGCATGAATGATCGTTATTTTATGTAGTTGTGCACCGGCATTTTAATTTGGGATTTCAATCCTGTTTGGTGGAGTTTTCCCCCTTTGTGCGAATTACTTGTTACTGGTGGGAGACTATATTGTTTTGCCTTAGTAAGCCTTTAGTTCACAGTTCTGGTTTATATAGGAGCGGGGGTATTAGTTAGCCTTTAGCTTACAGTTCTAGTTGTTTTTTAGGAGAGTGTCATCCAGGCCTCTTTGTATGAAACTTCTCAATGTTGAGGAAAGTCTCGAGCAATGTTAAAAGTTCAATCAGAGATCTCAAATATAAGAAAAAACTTTTTTAGATCGATGGGAAAATCACAAAGTTGAGGATGTTGTATATAGCTACTAGCTACATGTAGCCAATATGTTGTATATAACTACTAGCTTCATGTAGCCAATATGTTGTATATGTTATGTATAGCTACTAGCTTCATGTAGCCAATATGTTGTATATAGCTACTAGCTACATGTAGCCAATATGTTGTATATAGCTACTAGCTACATGTAGCCGATATGTTGTATATAGCTACTAGCTACATGTAGCCGATATGTTGTATATAGCTACTAGCTACATGTAGCCAATCTGTTATATATAGCTACTAGCTACATGTAGCCAATGTGTTATATATAGCTACTAGCTAGCCAATATGTTATATATAGCTACTAGCTAAATGTAGACAATATGTTATATATAGCAACTAGCTACATGTAGCCAATATGTTGTATATAGCTACAAGCTACATGTAGCCAATATGTTGTATATGTTATGTATAGCTCCTAGCTTCATGTAGCCAATATGTTGTATATGTTATGTATAGATACTAGCTTCATGTAGCCAATATGTTGTATATGTTATGTATAGCTACTAGCTACATGTAGCCAATCTGTTATGTATAGATACTAGCTACATGTAGCCAATATGTTATGTATATGGACTAGCTACATGTAGCCAATATGTTATATATGGCTACTAGCTACATGTAGCCAATATGTTATGTATAGCTACTAGCTACATGTAGCCAATCTGTTATATATAGCTACTAGCTACATGTAGTCATTATGTTATGTATAGCTACTAGCTACATGTAGCGAATATGTTATATATAGCTACTAGCTACATGTAGTCATTATGTTATGTATAGCTACTAGCTACATGTATCCAACATGTTATGTTATATATAGCAACTAGCTACATGTAGCCAATATGTTGTATATAGCTACTAGCTACATGTAGCCGATATGTTGTATATGTTATGTATAGCTACTAGCTACATGTAGCGAATATGTTATATATAGCTACTAGCTACATGTAGTCATTATGTTATGTATAGCTACTAGCTACATGTAGCCAATATGTTATGTATAGCTAATAGCTACATGTAGCCAATATGTTATATATAGCTTCTAGCTACATGTAGCCAATATGTTGTATATAACTACAAGCTTCATGTAGCCAATATGTTGTATATGTTATGTATAGCTACTAGCTACATGTAGCCAATCTGTTATATATAGCTACTAGCTACATGTAGTCATTATGTTATGTATAGCTACTAGCTACATGTAGCCAATCTGTTATATATAGCTACTAGCTACATGTAGTCAATATGTTATGCATAGCTACTAGCTACATGTAGCCAATATGTTGTATATAACTACAAGCTTCATGTAGCCAATATGTTGTATATGTTATGTATAGCTCCTAGCTTCATGTAGCCAATATGTTGTATATAGCTTCTAGCTACATGTAGCCAATATGTTGTATATGTTATGTATAGCTACTAGCTACATGTAGCCAATATGTTATATATAACTACTAGCTTTGCCATATTACAGCTTCATGTCCCACAAAAGTACAACAATCATTTGCTTCTTCAATATATCCATCACAAGTTACAGGGAAATATACACCGGTCAGCAGATCTCCTGTCATAACATCTAGTGTAACCCAGAACTGTATGTCACACTTATAGTAGCCATTATGTCACAGGTTGGAGGCCACGTGAGGCAGTCGCATGGTACTGGTCATAGATCAGTGGTTTTTCTACGGGTTCTCCACCATCAAAACCTGGCATAACCTTAAATAACCATGCGTGTATAATGAAGCTGTTAAAAACACAAACCAAACCAAATCAATTAAGCTACCGCCTTTTTCCTTAATTGGTCCCCAGCTGTATGAGGATTGTGGGTTTTCCCACCGTCCATCACTCCTTCTGTCCGTCTGTATCCTGTTCTAGAAAGTTTATCTGGAACATATCTCCTATACCAGCTGATATTAAATTACCAGTGGCAACCAACCTTTTAACTTTTTTTATTGAAGTGTCAGTGGTCGAATGTCACCAAATTGTTTCACCTGCCATGTTCCTTTTAAGTGTTTAAAATGCTAGTTGAGTTTTTATGCTGTGTCAACACAGTACAGATGGGATTCAAAGTCCCAATCCTTTAATCACCAGAAAATGTTTCACACATGCTACTGGTTAGCTGTCTTATTGTTTTGCAAGACAAGACAAGACAAGATTTTATTCTTTTAAATCACAATTTACATGTGATATTAAGAAAATATACAATTGGTACATTCAAGATAGAGTACGTGCTGTTTTACCCAGGAGAACGGACTCTCTCTATTACTATATTAATATATTTGCATATTTTAACTAGTAAAACTTTGTTATTTGTTGAAAAAGTTGCTGGAATTTTAAACAGTTTGGTTGCAAGATGTACATCAATACAAAAAATACTGACGCTGATGAACTTTAGGAAAGAGATGGGCTTATTACTGGGCAACCATCCTGTGCATAGAAAACTCAAGAAAAGTAGGGAGATGGGCTTATTACTGGGCACCCATCCTGTGCATAGAAAACTCAAGAAAAGTAGGGGGTTGGGCTTATTACCAGGTGTGGGCTAATCACCGGTAAAATATAGTATCATTTCATCTTGTAAAAATAAAATTTGGTCCGCAAGTCCTGTGGATGGAGGAGAACAGAGTATGAGAAGTAGGTCACTGTGACCTATATTTGACCTTTGATCTTAACAATCAATAAAGTTTTGGAGTTTATCAATGGTTTTTATGTGCCTACCAGGAAGCCATTTAAAGTAGTGCACGGCACTATGTTTCTCGTAAACTATTGAAGGGATAGGGACGAAATATGGTATGCATGGTGCCTTAGTCCATAATTGTGCCTGCCCCAAAGTGTGAAAATTACCACCGGGCCGTCTAGGATTTGGATGTATATTGCATGTACGAATTTTGAAAACAACAGGCATATTACAAGGTGTATACACACAAAAACAAGAAAAAACATAAATCACAGCATGCAGTAATTAAAACAACTTGGCAGGTACAGGACAAATGGAATAAATTAAAACAATGGTTTGACAAGCATTGAGTAAATCATGCAATGCGTAAATAAGAGCACTAAGCAAAAAATGAAAGAAAGTAGACGGTAAAAACTAAGTATAAAAATGATAAAAAGGTTTGCATTAACAACAAGACTAGTTACATACATATGGCGCAGGAATTCAAATTCCGCATTAAAAAGTTACTTTTCAGACAAAATCAACAATATTTTCGACAAATCATTTCTGTAAAGATAATTATTGACATGATTATACGAAGCGATCTCCACACTTTATTAGGTCACCTGAGACAAAGTCTAAAGTGACCTATTGCGATCGCCTTTCGTCCGTCGTGCGTCCGTAAACAATTTACATTTTCGACTTCTTCTCCAAAACCACTGAACCAATTTCAATGAAATTTTGCGGGAACCTTCCATGGACAAAGGTCAACAAAAATAGTTGCCGGTTTAGTCCCAAGCCCCCAGGGGGAGGGCGGCAAAATTTATTATGGTTTATAATGGCAAATGATACTTTGAATATTACATTTTGAGCCAGCCCTACCCCCAAGGGCTGTAGGTTGGGGCCCAAAGGAGTCAGTGTGCTAAAATTTCTTCATTTTCCTTGTTTAGAATCAGAGGTGCTAGTTTCAAATACTTTTTAGTCTTAAATCTGTATGCTAGATATTGAATAAGGTGGTTTTATGGTTTTTTGTCACGTTGCATAATATTTCTGTTCATGTTAAAAACAAAATCAACTCTCTGTATAAATATATCAGGTGACCGTTAAGGCCCATGGGTCTCTTGTTCATTTTGAGGAAAGTTATGAGCCCATTACAAAATATATACACTGACATGATGCTGTATGGAATACCTTAACGTCCTATCAACAGTTAAGGTCATTTAAGGACGTAGAGGGTAGTAGGTCACACTAGCTCTGTTGATGTGTTGAAAATAATCGATACCAAAATATAAATGCAAAATATTCAATATCTGCATGATTAAAACATCGTTTTCAAATTTGAGAAGTTAAACATGTACGATGTATCAGGATAGGCCAAGAACGGTATCGATCAAAATGTAACAGGTGTTTCTGCTTTTAAGGATATCTAAACAATTTAAACGTGGTTTAACGATATTCTGATTGTATGAAAGAGTGGCTGTTATTTTCGCAGTTTGTCAAAATTATTGGACGTAATAAAGATGACCATTATTCTGATTAATGCAGCGGTAAGGAATGAATGCAACACAAGACGCCAAGACGTCGATTTTTAATGTAGCCAAATCCAGTAGCCACTGGGGTTCTGACCAATTCAATGTGAAGCAGTTTAATGTATATAGAACTTGAGAGAAGATAGAAAGGAGACAAATACCCACTCGTGACCATGCTACGAATCGTTCTTGACAGAGATGGACTTCAGCTGCCCGTGTTAGGCAATACTTTAGATATAAATATGCCCGTGTAAGGCAATACTTTAGATATATATCTGCCCGTGTTGGTCAATACTTCAGATATAAATCTGCCCGTGTTAGGCAATACTTCAGATATAAAACTGCCTGTGTTAGGCAATACTTTAGATATGTATCTGCCCGTGTTAGGCAATACTTTAGATATTTATCTGCCCGTGTTGGGCAATACTTCAGATATAAATCTGCCCGTGTAAGGCAATACTTCAGATATAAATCTGCCCGTGTTGGGCAATACTTTAGATATAAATCAGCCCGTGTTTAGCAATACTTCAGATATAAAACTGCCCTTGTTAGGCAATACTTTAGATATAAGTCTGCAAATGTTAGGCAATACTTAAGATATAAATCTGCCTGTGTTAGGCAATACTTTAGATATAAATTCTCCCTTGTTAGGACATACTTTAGATATAAATTTGCCCGTGTTAGGCAATACTTCAGAAATAAATCTGCCCGTGTAAGGCAATACTTTAGATATAAATCCTCCCGTGTTCGGCAATACTTCAGATATAAATCTGCCCGTGTTAGGCAATACTTCAGATATATATCTGCCCGTGTTGGGCAATACTTCAGATATAAATATGCCCGTGTTAGGCAATACTTCAGATATAAATCTGCCCGTGTTAGGCAATACGTTAGATATGTATCTGCCCGTGTTAGGCAATACTTCATTTACAAATTCAACTGCTAAACATGCTTCATATCTCTAGCCATTTCAAAGTATCTACACCTACAAACTTAACAGAAACACATGGCTGCTATTTGGATCCTTAGCATTTAGAAACTTGTAGTATCTGTGAGAATGTGCCAACATATAAATGGATGAATAGAAGATATATACTGAGGTTAAATCATATACAATATACTCTTAACTAATTCACGATATTTATTACGTAACATGTCGTTGGTCAGGAGGGGGGTGTTCTCGTTTCCCCCACTTTTTATATAACAAAGGAAAGTGTTGATTTAGGAAGAAAATGGCAAACCAATTATAGTCTGTTTCATACTTACCCCCCCCCCCCCCCCAAGGTAACTTATCTGTTCTGTGTAAAAGTTATAATTATATTACAATTTTTTAACATACAACCGTAAATGCATATTTATCATATTAATTTATATTACACTGTTTAGGCCACCAAATACAAGACAAGTTTAACATTACATTTCAAAACATGTTAAGAAGTTAAATCTATCAATATAAACTGTACATTACATTTACTAATCACACAATACAAATACATAAACAATATTCAAATATTAAGAATAGTAAAGTTTAGTAATAGAAATCACAAATTGGCCCCCCTCAAATTTATATCATATCTCCAACAGCCAAGAGTCACACATTTTTGTTGTTATCTATCCCAAATGTAAGAGAAGTGATGCTGCATTGGCGTACCCCATAAGATCCATCGTCTGGTTCTCAAGGCGCTCCTGTTTCGGTATCGTTTCTCGCATGGTCTGTTGACTCCTCCTGCATCTCGTTGTATCCTGTTGATCTCGTTGGCTGCCTGAATCTCCTGGAACACTCTAATGATGGTGAAGATGTTTGGATGTACATGGTGAACCCTCTTCTTCATAATCTCTCTGGCGATGACGTTGGCATTATCAGAAGGATAGGTGTGCTGGCGTTGTCCAAACCGTACTGGAATATCATTTAGTGTAGTCGGTGTGTCAGGGCAGGTGGCATCAACACAGGTCCAGTAGGTCCTCTCACCTCTGTTGTTCTCAACAATGTAATACTGCTTGAGCTGTACAGTTGGATATGACTTCCCCAGAATGATTGTTTGCTATATATAACCAATTTGGCTTGGATATCCATCATCAGCTTGGAGACAAATCAAGGAGTGCTTAAATAATTAATGGTAATACTCATCGTCATCTCGGTAATTAGCATAGGCCGTGATCACTTTTAGCTCACTTGAATGGAAATGATAGCTTGGATAATTATAGATGTTCAATGATTTTTATGATAAATATAAGATACTTATAACATCTAGGAATTTTGATTGATTAACTGATTAATTAACTTAAACATTCTTACATTTTGTACAAGGTAAAGTAGGCATCTTATTAAATGTTACAATAATGAAGGTTGTTTAAAGTAAATGTACTAGAAAATGAAATAACACATTTCATCTCATCATATCAGCAGCACAAGGACTACACAATGGATATATTTAATACTGATCATATATATGATTAATATTTGAATAACTTAAATTTTAATATTTGTCATTACAAATCTTAAAAAGCTTGTATAATGTGTTATTAAATTAGATATGATAAAACACCACCTTAGATAGAAGGGTTAACCATAGTAATAACACAGGTAAACACAGGTAAAACACAGGTAAATACTGCCCATACTTCTTAGAAACAGACTATAATCCTTCTAACAACATTCTTCCCCCCATGTTATTTTAAAAAGTGGGGAAACGAGAACAAGCCGTCAGGAGGATAGTATTATTACATGAAGGGTAAGTGGTACTTTTATTTTCGCTGTGTGTCAAAACTATCGTACTTAAAAAGATGATTGCATAATGACATTGTTGAAATCTGTTAGCGCTTCTGATACACATTAGTTGAGCATAGGGCGCTGTGACCTGACTGACCCTTTCATATCTATGTAAATTGGGTAAATTCTACTATGCATTGATCTGGTCAAGTCCATTACGGTCTACAGTAGTGAAACAAAAGTTGTTTTTACTTTAGTGCGACATTGCAATAGGGTCAGATAAAGATTTGTCAGTCGATAACACAGGTATTTAAAATCGTTACCGTTAGGTTTTGATAACGTGCTAGTGTCATTGTGTTGGGTGATGTGGGTCACCAACAAGGTTGTTGCGAGGCCAAACGAATATCTAAAGTATGGAGTCGTACCAAAATAGATGAAAAGTGCGCTCCCTCTGCAGACAGAGTTTATCTGGCAGTATTTTTGATGGGAATAACCAACCAAGAAATGACCCGTATTTGACTACAGACCAGTGAAATTTCATCACCTCTCGTGGTCCTTTGCACGAATATTTCTGGACGTAAGTTTTTTTCGTGGAAACAATCAGTTTGAACAAAGGAAATTTCTTTAATATCTTTTCCCGTGACTTTACAATATGGAATAACTTATGTAAATATATTTTATTCGATTAAGAAATGTTCATAAAATGGGGACAGGTTCTTGTATTTTTTTCGTGCTGATTCGAAATCCAATGTGACCTTTCCCGTCATGGAGATCGGTCGAGATATTTTTGAGTAATTATTATATTACCACTTCATGGGTCAATTTTAATCAAATAACGTACAAAACTTCCTAAATTTGAGTCATTTGAGCCAATCAAATGTTTCTATTGACCTTTGTGACCAATGAGAAATATGAGAAGACTACCTTGTCCAAACGTAGAGGAAACACTTATGCTCCTTGTTAATTCAGATAATGAATAATAGGTAAACGAAGCAAAAGGTGGCCAAGGCCATTCATTGAGAACGTAAACAAGATCCGTAGCGCCAGATGTATGTAAAACGGGAGTTACACGACCTAAGGCCAGATGTATGTAAATTAGGAGTTACACGACGAATGCTGGTAGAGTTGGTTCTCACTCGCTCTCAGTTCTTACTGCGGTCTGAATGTCAGGGAGCCGTCGTCAGTCATTCTCCCTAGGTCGTTTCTGTGTCAATATGTGCCGCTCTCGGGCCGTGATTCAGATTTAACCTAACTTGCGTCTCTTGTTTATAGCAAATCGCTATACATGTATACGTGTATTACACATGTATTTGTATACAGTTTACCGTTATCATCCTATCTATCGTCACAGTGTGTCGTGCCTGCCTATATGTTGGTCGATGTTACAACATCTATCGTCCCTACAGTCTGTCGTGCCTGCCTATATGTTGGTCGATATTACAACATATATCTCCCTACAGTCTGTAGTGCCTTATTATTTGTTGGTCGATGTTACAACACCTATCGTCCCTTCAGTCTGTTGTGCCTTTCTATATGTTGGTCGATATTACAACGTCTATCCTTTCTATAGTCTGTTGTGCCTGCCCATATGTTGGTCTATGTTACAACATCTATCGTCCCTAATGTCTGTTGTGTCTGCCTATATGTAGGTCGATTTAAAAATTACAACATCTATCATCCCTACTGTATGTTGTGCCTTCCTATATGTTGATCGATGTTACAACATCTATCGTCCCTAATGTCTGTTGTACCTGCCTATATTTTGGTCGATGTTACAACATGTATCCTCCCTAAGCCATATCTCTGTGAAATATTCCATTCGAATCGCGGACAACAGCTGCTATCCGTAATAATGTGTTACTATCATTTCTGTCGGTCATGTCACATTCTCTCTAGTTAGTCACACTCTCTCGGATCTATAGATGGTTTACTTCGAACATTTAACAAGCCTTTCGGATTGATATGTCTCGCCTATGCCCCTCAATAGGGTTGAGGTGCATGTACTACCTAAGATGCCTCCAGGGTCCAAGTTTGGTTGATGTAGCACTTATACTTTCAGAGAAACTAACTTAAACGCAAAAACTTAATGTTGACACCGCCGTCGCCGGAAAAGCAACACCTTAGTATCGCTTCCACTTCGTGGCGACGAGACAATTATACTTTTCCAATACCTCATTTGGATCGTAACATACAAATAACACAGTCCTATTGTTAACGATCTTTCAGGTAAAACTCATCTGTTACGTTACCTGAAACCGGTGGGCGATACAGGTCTTATGTGTCTCTTGTTCAGTGTTATGTTATTGATCATATTGGTCTATAACAGGGTGTTGATATGGCATATAGCCATAATCCACACGTGATAAAAACCGAGTGTAGTAGTGCATACTCATAGCGTAGACATATTGAACAAGATGCCGGGTGCACCTGAGCTGTGACGAGACCAGCAGTGGATTACCTACAGGTATCGTATGTAAATCTATGTCCTCTATATACTCATCATATGTAATAAACAACTAACTCCTTATATGCAGTTAGCTGCTCTGCCTTTAGGAACGGCAAAGTCGGCGTTATATATTTTCAAAATTTCACAAAGACATATTCCTACAAGCCGACTCACTCATCAATCTGCCCCTCTCAAACCGTGTTTATCTGAATAAAAACCAAGTGATCCACCCAACCTGAAAACCCGGAGGTGACAGGAGGTGCACCAGCCCAAAGCTTAAGGTTCATCTTGCTGGGATTTCTGAACAAACAATCTAAACACGGCATACATCCATTCAAACTCCTTATATGCAGTTAGCTGCTCTGCCTTTAGATTACAAAAGAACGGGACTGATTAATGATTATATGCTAAAACTATACAAAAAACCTGGTGGAATCATAATAAAAAAAACCAATAACAACTCGTACTTAAACAAATACTCACAAACCTGACTGTTACCTAACTTGTACGAGCCTAACTACTCAGTGTACAAGTACATAATATGCAATAGATATTAGCCTCATATACCAACAAGCCCAACTGCTGGGTAACCTGCAATCTATGCTGAAGCGAATCGGCCACATACCCATCCTTAGCAACATCGCTTCTCAATCTCCCATGCCTCTTCCAGCACCTTTCGTTTACATTACTATTTGCCGCTTCTGTAGCGCCACCTGCCCTCAGAGAATGTAACCCTAAATTCAAACCACTACCTACCTCCTGCAACCTTTTGACAACATATTCTCTTGCCCTCGTATAACTTAATGGTTTCTGCTTACCTATCTGCTTACACCCGGCCTTTCCACGGACTAATGGTTTGAACAAATAATCATTTGAACTTACCGTTGCTCCAGACAAATCCATAATTTTTTCCAGCATCAAATAAGGACATGCTGATGTTTTACCTCTTGCGATGATTACCTCATTCCCTAGCCTGTACTGATCGGTTTTAGATTTTCTAATAATTAGCTTTAAGCACGACCCGTGAAACGATACATCCTCACATCTTAACTCGCTCAACTCATTGTACCTTAGAAAACCAGCAAAACACAGAACAATCATCGCCAAATCTCTCACCACAGTAATGTCCCTAGAGTCTTTATGGCTATCGCATAATTTGATAAGCATATCAGCCGATACGCAGTCCTTCTTTATCCTGGGTGCCCGTACTTGTCGTTTTGCGGCCTCCAACATGTTTCTTACAAAACCATTCTCCGTAGGATCGTCGAAAGCGTTAATAGAATGAGCCCACTTAATTCCGTACACAGCCGATGACACAACACTGTTAGTGTATGAACCACCCACATCCAAAATGTGTGTCAAGTACAGCGCCACCTGTATGGGCTGAGCTGGAAGTGAACACCCTCCGTCCTGCTTTATGAAATCCTCCCACTTTTTGAAAGCCCTGTAATATTTTACCACCGTATTGTCGCTCCTCGAGTTTAAAATGTAGCCCGCCATTCTCTTAGTCAACATGCTTGCCCGAGCCGTTTGCTGACCTGTACGCCGTATTTCTTCGTCTATGTTTGAGAGTAGCCCGACACCTGAAATGACAAAACAATTAGGATCAAAACCTCAGCCTTAATGCCACAATGGGCGGACCCCCATTTTTTCCGAAAATACCGTTCTTCCCTTTCCCGGCCAAAACGCTGCCGGAATGAATTAGTAAGTGTTATTTAACGAAAAAAGCATACTTATTTCCCCTTGGAGCAATTACTGGCCAGTAGGGAGCAGAAGTCCAATATGGCACCATCAGGGTACCCATGGCTTTCTCGTCCATCACTTTTCTGATAACCCTAGGTATCAAACCAGGCGGTGGGACTAGCCAATTATTCTGCCTAGCCCATACCTGACTCAGACCATCTATACCTCCTGTTCCCGGACACCACCACCTCGAATTGAAAACTGCACATTTTGCGTTTTTGTCACTTGCAAATCTATCAACAGTAAATTCACCCCATCTCTTGTTCAGGTCATTGAATAAACTGTCCTGTATAGACCAGTCATCACTATCTGTAGCCCTACTGTATTTATCGGCCAACTGATTACCCATGCTGGTACTACCTCCAGCCTTTTTCTACAACAGACCTCTCTTATCCTCACCGCCTTATCATTCAATGTGGTTACTGTGCTTCCGTTTACCATAATTTTAGCCACATTCTGACTGTCAGTATACCACAGCACTTTGCGCCCTACCAGACGTTGCCCTACCAGGCAGTCGTTGTAATGTAACAACATTCTTAATACAGCCTCTAGCTCTCTTCAAGTCGAGCTCTCTTTGCTCTCGGCCTCAGTCCATTCACCAATTACCTCACTGTTATCAACATATAGTATGTACCCTCCATAACCCGTTGCCGATGCGTCACTATATACCACAAAATCATTCCTGTACGTCTTATCTATCAAAGAACCGTTCAAACTTTCCATTTTTGTATACCAGAACCTCACTTCGTCTAACGCTTCATTTGTAATGAATACTTTCGAATCTCAACTAACCTTTGTCAACACACAGGCGTACATATGCCTCGTCATCATCCTACCTACCGAGCCCATGGCTACTTTCATAGCAATAATCTAACCAACTAATCCTGCAAGATGCCTTGCAGTCAACGCACACCGTGCATCCGAAATGCCATCCAGCAAAGCTTGTAAAGCCGATCTCAGCCTCTGTACCTTACTGTCGGGTACGTAAACCCTCCCTTCAGAAAAGGACCAACGTAATCCTAACCAAACCGCCTCCTGACTTGGCACCCAGCTACACTTTTGTTCCGCTATAAGAAAACCAAATCTCTGTAGATCCGACCTCACAGCCCTACTGTGTATTTCGGCTCCAGCTTCCGTAAAAATATACCCTGCAGTAGAAAGACCGAATGGTAGTACGTTGAAAACAAAATAGCGAACTCTTCCTTCGATAACCCACGAAAAACCGAGGTAAGTTCTATGTTCCGAAAAAATCTCTATATGATGGTAAGCTGACTTGAGATCGAACGTAAATACCCAATCACCTTTCCTGAACATGTCTAATGCTACCGCTGAGTCCTCGTACTTACACTTGAATTTGTACAAACAGGGATTCACGTGTCTACAATCAA